CAGAGATGACGAGTGATGTCCCTCCTCAGGTCTCTGGGCAGACTCTGCAGCACATTGTGGATGTCAACACCTTGATCCCTCTGCCATCTGAATTCTTCATGTTGCTTCAGGCGCTCCTTTAAGTCCTCAGGGATATAATGGGAACCCATCCATCTCTCCACACCTTCCCATTTCATTCTCATCTCTTCCATTCTAATGGTTGATGCTAGCATCCTTGTCTGCACACAGGTAGAAGCTTTCTCCTCCTTGTCAGATAAATTTTCACGACAAAATCAGGAACGAAGAATGTAAAACGATCTAGCACCGCACGATCACTTTTACCTGGATGATACCGATGACTAACGAAAACAGCAACAACCCAGCAATGAAGATGCATAGTGCAAAACATATCTCAAACTTATTGTTGCTTGGCTTAATGTTCTGTCCCAAAGTGCTGCAACCACAACATCAAACAAAGAGGTATGTCTAAGACTTCGCATCGACTTGGTTTCTAGCATCCAACATTGATCATCTAAAGATTCGAGCTACGAACTCAGGAGATTATTTGATCAACTAGTTAACTGCAAAGGTAACTGACCTCAGACTTTGGAGAGCCCACCAGAAACTGTAAAGCAACTTGTTGCCGAAATCTGTCGACTCCAGCACCCCAGAGCTAATAGCATCAGCATACATCCCATAATTGAAATCCGATCCTCCTCCTCGGGGGCAACTCTGATTCAGAAACGACGTGTAGTTCATCGATCTATCCTTCCCGCAAGTCAGCATTGCTTCGTAATCGCATCCAGGACGACTTCGACAGGCTGCTCGCCAGCAACCCATTTCTCGTCGAATAGCCAATGAGTACCAGAATGCTCCCACAACCTACATTGACAAGGAAATTACTGAGCCTCAAACTTCCCCATTCCCTATCAACCCTTGGTTAATCTTGTGGAGAACGTAGTATTCTCACATGGGCAGCATTGACGTAAAGGAAGACTGTAACCCAAATCCTAGCAACTGCAGCTTTTCTCACTGCATAGGAAGTGCTTATCGCTTTCTGACTGAGTTGGTAGAACCTGAACAGTCGAGGTACAAACTGAGAAGCTATCAATGGTTGCAAAACAGCAATGGCGGTCAACAGTCTGGATCCTCTGGTCTTCCCCGAAATCCAAGCTGCAACGACGATCACCTGCAGAGCCCACCACAACAAGAAAGCATCGGTCATCCTCGCTGCCGTCATAGTTAGGCGCTGCCAAGAAGACAGGCGGTGGCTGAGCCGTCAGGCACAGAGAGTGAGTGACAGTCTGGCAGCCATCTTCTGATGATAATCAATGAGGAATAGAATACTTATTTATGAACTGGATTTCTTAACTCTTCTGATACGATAGTGATATGATTGTATCGGAATGATATAATTCATATTAAGGTGGTATACCACGTGTTTATAGCTGATTATATTTCGAAACAAATCAAATCATGTTTAGGAAATTTCCTATGAACATGTTTTCCGGGCGAGAAAATCTAGATGAAGAGAATTGGATTTTTGCACTTTTTGACTTCCAAGCAAACGATTAACAAACACGATCCACACCTTTTTGTGTGGATTGTTGAAACTAGAGCAGTTACAAGTATTGAGAATTTTTAATGGACAACAGTATATATCTGCCTATATGTGTATAAGTTCATAGTTTAGGATTCGTACCCATGATTATCCGAATACCCGTGGTTACCAGGTGGGTAGAGTGTGGTTATATAATTTTCATACCCAGTGGTTATTTGGTCGGGTATTTTAGAAAGCTCTACCCGACGGGTTATTTGGTCGAGTATTTTAGAAAGATCTACCCGGCGAATTAAGAGTTGGTATAGAGTAAACCCGCACCCGAACCTACCCATTGCCATCTCTATCAACAATCAACGAAAACAATGTGGGCTAGGGCTACTGTTGCTGAGTCGCCATCTTTGACCGGCGAAACAAAGGCTGAGACAGCATCCCTTGTCTAGTCTAGTCTAGTCTACTCTACTCTACTCTACTCCAACGAAAACCCAAAACGAGAATTTGAGGTACAGCAAAAATTAGGCCAAGATGATGAATTGGATGCTCTAATTACTAACTTGCTAACCTTCGACTACTTGTTGTTAATCATCAATTAAGTTCCAGAAAGGAAAGAGAGACCTGACCTGCGGCAGCGGGAGGACGGAGAGCAAATCGACGATGAAATACGAAGACAAGTATCTCCTCGCTATCGCCGACGCGTCCATCACCAGCTCGCCGGCACCGAACACTCTAGAGGAAGGCGCCGGGAACCCGGTCCTGAACCGGAAGAAGATCCGAATCAAGTGGAAAGCATCGGCGACGGAGCGCAGCACCGTGGCAGTAATCACCAGGTTGCCGTCGAACCGAATGACGCATCCGTGGCGGCTGTTGATTCGCGGGATGTAGAGAAACAGGGGATCCAGGAACAGAGCAACCGCGGTTAGCGCCAAGAAGATGGCGTCCCACCTTCGGACAACCCGTTCCAACGGATGGAAAATCCTGCATTTTATCCAAAAAGCTGTGAAGTTGATGACTTGATTGAATTCTCCTTCGCTAATCGAAAAGGGAGAGAGGGAAGGAGAAGAAAAACCTCATTTCTTGGGGGAGTTATTGGATAAGGAAAGGAAGGAAATGTTGTAAGCTCGATGGCAGAGAAAGGAAGAGTAAAGGTGTTTTGAGTGTTAATTAGATGGGTCGCGGACTTCTGCTGTTGAAGTCAACTTTAGGCACCATTTTGATAAAGATCAAATACGAATGACTGGTTTGTTAGTAAACTAAATGTAAGTGACCAAACTTGTAATTTTTCAGGGGTGTCACTTCGAGCAAATTTGTAACCAATCTTGGTGGCGGGAATTGTACTCGTCCCAAGCTCAACGGGCGGTGGTCCTTTCTCCTTTTCCCGCCGGCGTCATCTTCCATTCAATCCGATCATTTGCCTACCGTCCGCCATGGCGGACCGCACAAATCTGAATCGTCGAATCCGATAAGAAGCCGACCCTCCTCCTTCCATGATCCGCAAGCTTGGAGACGATCTCCTGGTAGAGATTCTGATTCGCCTCCCGAACCCTAGATCCGCCTTCCGCTGCAAACTGGTCTGCAGGCGTTGGAGTTCCCTAATCTCCCATCAATCCTTCAATCGCAGTTTCATTTCCCACCACGGGAGCATGAAGGAACCGCGACCTCTGCTTATCCACTCCAACGACGCGAGCGACCTGACGAGCTTTATGCCGCCCATGCCAATCACAGCTCGAGTCGGTTTCCGAGTCTTGGATTGCTTCAAGGATCTGTTCTTATGCGGGTATGGGGATTCAGATAATGATAACTCTGAACTTGGCAGGACGTACGTGGTCTGCAATCCGTTTACGAAGCAGTGGATGGCCCTCCCCGTAGCGCCTGCAAAGGAGGGTTACGAAGCGCCGGTTTGAAGGTTAGTTTGTGAACCCTGCATTTCTAGTAATCTTGATCTAGGAGATGGCGAACCGGCATATGTTTACTCCGAGTATCGGTTTCGAGTGGTGTGTATCTATCAACATAAGGCCTCTATCAAATTGGACGTGTTTTGCTCGGAGTCTGGGAAATGGACGAACCAGGCTCGTGCTTTTCATGGTTGTCGCAAACTCCCAGACCATAATGTGGTTTCGTTGAACGGGGAGTTGCTTTGGTTTTATGTAGATGCCTACGTTCGTTCTTCTCTCGTTGCCCTGAATATTTTCCCCCTCGATCTACCTCCCACTTATATAGGTGAGTTCTATGACAAGCCGCGGGGAGATATCTCGGTCTGACAAGGCGCTCTGCACATAATTGCACTAGAAGGGGCAACTATACCTACTCGTGTGAGCGTTTGGAGACTGAAAGAAGACCGTGAATCTTGGAAGAAACAATGTGAAGGGCTTGTGGAGACTCCGGGTTGTAACTATGAACCCGAGCACTTAACAGTCCTCGACCTGCATCCAGAGAAGCCAGAAGTTGTCTTCTTTGGGCACTGCCCCTCGTCTACTCTCGAACATGCTGTTTTGTCCTGCGACTTGAGGAAGGGACATCTAGAATTCTTCTCTGAAGTAAGACAAACTATACCTCGGTGGACACTGTTCCAACCTAGGGTCCATTTCTGGCCTACTCCGATTCCAAGGTACGAGGAATTGCGAGCTGTATACGATGGAAGCTACGGCTGGTTCAAAAAAGCTGCTAGCAATAAGTCCCTCGGTACTGGTTTATCGCAGCTGCGAGATTTAGTGACAGCACTTGAAGGTATTGAACTTATGCTTGTGAGTTATGAGAATTTACTCTGTATTCTTTTTTGTGCTTGTTTTCTCTATTCTCTGTGAGTCTGCGACTGACTCTCTCTGCTGGGGTTATATATGAACTAGTGAAACATGATAAAGTCGACCCTATTCCTCTATTAGGATTAGGGGAGCAGTGGTGTGCCTGCTTTCCTTATGTAACACATTTTGAAGTAGCACATAAATCTCTTATCTTCTTTCTAATTGCTTGAGAATCTTGTTCCTGGTTGCAAACTCTTTGCTGCTCTTATAAGGTTAGACTTATTGTGGTTGGTTTGGTTGTTGAACCAACAGAGGAAATTTACTTTGGGCGATTACAACGGATGCTGTGTCAAGGCAGGCTCGTGCTCTAATCAGGGGATGGTGGCTTTAGAAGAAAATTGTCTGTGATTGAAATCGAAGGGACTGCTGATCAACTTGTAGGCGTTGTTCATGCACCCCGGTCTACGATGAATTGTTGTTGGATGCTGGATATGTTTTAATGTGTTGATGAGAAAGCACTGGTTTTAGGCATAGTTGTTTCATCTACTGATGATAATGTAATCTCATTCAATGTAGAGTACTTGTGGAAGTTGAGTTGGGAAAGGAACTAGATGAACTAAACAAAAGCCAGTCCAAAATTTTCTTTCTTCCCATTTCTACATTAATCTTGATACAGTTTACGACAATGAAAATCATTACTTCAGAGACACGGAATCACATTTGATCTATCGTAGTTCCTCACTTGACTGAACTTCATCGTCACTAAAATCTGGCTCTGCTGGCTTTTTCGCTGACACAGACGGTAGAGGCACTGTTCCCTTACCAGTCGACTTGCGGTTTAGAAGCCGTAGTGAATTGGCAGCAAACCTCGAGGCATATATGGTGGCGCCAAGGGGTGTCGACTTGGCAGCCAATGCATCTCCCAACCTGTCCTCTTCCCGCCTCTGCGCCATCTCTAGTTTATTCTTTCTGAACCTCCGCCAAGCAGCTTGTATGAAACAAGCGGCCCAAGTCGTCCACTGGTGTGAGTAGAACCTGAACCTGTGGCGGAGCTTCTTGTTGCGAACCCAACGGAACCGTGTAGCCACAAACTTCAAGTCGTCAGCTGTAAGCGCGAAAGCCTCCACATGCGTGACGGTTTGAACGGTTGTGATTGAGATTGGAAGGTCTGATAACGAAGAGTAGGGTCCCAGAGCCCAACTGAGAAGCTCGTCGCAGCAGAACTCACCAGTCTTGAGGTGCTCCGCGCTGAAGAAGACAGAGCTCCCGCCATATGTGCCTGTGGTTTGTATTACACCCCTCTTGATGAACAGCATCTCGTTGACTCGATCTCCCTCGCGAACAATGTAGCTTCCTCCCGTGTACAATGCTGGTTTAACGCGTTCGCACATTGCATCTAGTTGCTCATCGTCCATCGTTGAGAATATTGGCACCTGAAACAACCAAACAAAGCACAAAATGAGGATCAGAATCCAATCGAAATCACCTGACATGACGAGGAACGGAATGGGCACTGCAGGGAAACTCACACTCCTGAGAAGATCCAACCAGAGATGACGAGTGATGTCCCTCCTCAGGTCTCTGGGCAGACTCTGCAGCACATTGTGGATGTCAACACCTTGATCCCTCTGCCATCTGAATTCTTCATGTTGCTTCAGGCGCTCCTTTAAGTCCTCAGGGATATAATGGGAACCCATCCATCTCTCCACACCTTCCCATTTCATTCTCATCTCTTCCATTCTAATGGTTGATGCTAGCATCCTTGTCTGCACACAGGTAGAAGCTTTCTCCTCCTTGTCAGATAAATTTTCACGACAAAATCAGGAACGAAGAATGTAAAACGATCTAGCACCGCACGATCACTTTTACCTGGATGATACCGATGACTAACGAAAACAGCAACAACCCAGCAATGAAGATGCATAGTGCAAAACATATCTCAAACTTATTGTTGCTTGGCTTAATGTTCTGTCCCAAAGTGCTGCAACCACAACATCAAACAAAGAGGTATGTCTAAGACTTCGCATCGACTTGGTTTCTAGCATCCAACATTGATCATCTAAAGATTCGAGCTACGAACTCAGGAGATTATTTGATCAACTAGTTAACTGCAAAGGTAACTGACCTCAGACTTTGGAGAGCCCACCAGAAACTGTAAAGCAACTTGTTGCCGAAATCTGTCGACTCCAGCACCCCAGAGCTAATAGCATCAGCATACATCCCATAATTGAAATCCGATCCTCCTCCTCGGGGGCAACTCTGATTCAGAAACGACGTGTAGTTCATCGATCTATCCTTCCCGCAAGTCAGCATTGCTTCGTAATCGCATCCAGGACGACTTCGACAGGCTGCTCGCCAGCAACCCATTTCTCGTCGAATAGCCAATGAGTACCAGAATGCTCCCACAACCTACATTGACAAGGAAATTACTGAGCCTCAAACTTCCCCATTCCCTATCAACCCTTGGTTAATCTTGTGGAGAACGTAGTATTCTCACATGGGCAGCATTGACGTAAAGGAAGACTGTAACCCAAATCCTAGCAACTGCAGCTTTTCTCACTGCATAGGAAGTGCTTATCGCTTTCTGACTGAGTTGGTAGAACCTGAACAGTCGAGGTACAAACTGAGAAGCTATCAATGGTTGCAAAACAGCAATGGCGGTCAACAGTCTGGATCCTCTGGTCTTCCCCGAAATCCAAGCTGCAACGACGATCACCTGCAGAGCCCACCACAACAAGAAAGCATCGGTCATCCTCGCTGCCGTCATAGTTAGGCGCTGCCAAGAAGACAGGCGGTGGCTGAGCCGTCAGGCACAGAGAGTGAGTGACAGTCTGGCAGCCATCTTCTGATGATAATCAATGAGGAATAGAATACTTATTTATGAACTGGATTTCTTAACTCTTCTGATACGATAGTGATATGATTGTATCGGAATGATATAATTCATATTAAGGTGGTATACCACGTGTTTATAGCTGATTATATTTCGAAACAAATCAAATCATGTTTAGGAAATTTCCTATGAACATGTTTTCCGGGCGAGAAAATCTAGATGAAGAGAATTGGATTTTTGCACTTTTTGACTTCCAAGCAAACGATTAACAAACACGATCCACACCTTTTTGTGTGGATTGTTGAAACTAGAGCAGTTACAAGTATTGAGAATTTTTAATGGACAACAGTATATATCTGCCTATATGTGTATAAGTTCATAGTTTAGGATTCGTACCCATGATTATCCGAATACCCGTGGTTACCAGGTGGGTAGAGTGTGGTTATATAATTTTCATACCCAGTGGTTATTTGGTCGGGTATTTTAGAAAGCTCTACCCGACGGGTTATTTGGTCGAGTATTTTAGAAAGATCTACCCGGCGAATTAAGAGTTGGTATAGAGTAAACCCGCACCCGAACCTACCCATTGCCATCTCTATCAACAATCAACGAAAACAATGTGGGCTAGGGCTACTGTTGCTGAGTCGCCATCTTTGACCGGCGAAACAAAGGCTGAGACAGCATCCCTTGTCTAGTCTAGTCTAGTCTACTCTACTCTACTCTACTCCAACGAAAACCCAAAACGAGAATTTGAGGTACAGCAAAAATTAGGCCAAGATGATGAATTGGATGCTCTAATTACTAACTTGCTAACCTTCGGACTACTTGTTGTTAATCATCAATTAAGTTCCAGAAAGGAAAGAGAGACCTGACCTGCGGCAGCGGGAGGACGGAGAGCAAATCGACGATGAAATACGAAGACAAGTATCTCCTCGCTATCGCCGACGCGTCCATCACCAGCTCGCCGGCACCGAACACTCTAGAGGAAGGCGCCGGGAACCCGGTCCTGAACCGGAAGAAGATCCGAATCAAGTGGAAAGCATCGGCGACGGAGCGCAGCACCGTGGCAGTAATCACCAGGTTGCCGTCGAACCGAATGACGCATCCGTGGCGGCTGTTGATTCGCGGGATGTAGAGAAACAGGGGATCCAGGAACAGAGCAACCGCGGTTAGCGCCAAGAAGATGGCGTCCCACCTTCGGACAACCCGTTCCAACGGATGGAAAATCCTGCATTTTATCCAAAAAGCTGTGAAGTTGATGACTTGATTGAATTCTCCTTCGCTAATCGAAAAGGGAGAGAGGGAAGGAGAAGAAAAACCTCATTTCTTGGGGGAGTTATTGGATAAGGAAAGGAAGGAAATGTTGTAAGCTCGATGGCAGAGAAAGGAAGAGTAAAGGTGTTTTGAGTGTTAATTAGATGGGTCGCGGACTTCTGCTGTTGAAGTCAACTTTAGGCACCATTTTGATAAAGATCAAATACGAATGACTGGTTTGTTAGTAAACTAAATGTAAGTGACCAAACTTGTAATTTTTCAGGGGTGTCACTTCGAGCAAATTTGTAACCAATCTTGGTGGCGGGAATTGTACTCGTCCCAAGCTCAACGGGCGGTGGTCCTTTCTCCTTTTCCCGCCGGCGTCATCTTCCATTCAATCCGATCATTTGCCTACCGTCCGCCATGGCGGACCGCACAAATCTGAATCGTCGAATCCGATAAGAAGCCGACCCTCCTCCTTCCATGATCCGCAAGCTTGGAGACGATCTCCTGGTAGAGATTCTGATTCGCCTCCCGAACCCTAGATCCGCCTTCCGCTGCAAACTGGTCTGCAGGCGTTGGAGTTCCCTAATCTCCCATCAATCCTTCAATCGCAGTTTCATTTCCCACCACGGGAGCATGAAGGAACCGCGACCTCTGCTTATCCACTCCAACGACGCGAGCGACCTGACGAGCTTTATGCCGCCCATGCCAATCACAGCTCGAGTCGGTTTCCGAGTCTTGGATTGCTTCAAGGATCTGTTCTTATGCGGGTATGGGGATTCAGATAATGATAACTCTGAACTTGGCAGGACGTACGTGGTCTGCAATCCGTTTACGAAGCAGTGGATGGCCCTCCCCGTAGCGCCTGCAAAGGAGGGTTACGAAGCGCCGGTTTGAAGGTTAGTTTGTGAACCCTGCATTTCTAGTAATCTTGATCTAGGAGATGGCGAACCGGCATATGTTTACTCCGAGTATCGGTTTCGAGTGGTGTGTATCTATCAACATAAGGCCTCTATCAAATTGGACGTGTTTTGCTCGGAGTCTGGGAAATGGACGAACCAGGCTCGTGCTTTTCATGGTTGTCGCAAACTCCCAGACCATAATGTGGTTTCGTTGAACGGGGAGTTGCTTTGGTTTTATGTAGATGCCTACGTTCGTTCTTCTCTCGTTGCCCTGAATATTTTCCCCCTCGATCTACCTCCCACTTATATAGGTGAGTTCTATGACAAGCCGCGGGGAGATATCTCGGTCTGACAAGGCGCTCTGCACATAATTGCACTAGAAGGGGCAACTATACCTACTCGTGTGAGCGTTTGGAGACTCAAACATCCCCATTCCATAATCAACCTCGCGGTACTGGTAGTTATTAATCTTGGTCGAAAACATAGCAATCTCACATGGGCAGCATTGATGTAAAGAAAGATGGTAATCGCAATCCTGGCAAATGCAGCTTTTTCCACTGCAAGGGTAGTAGTACTTCTCACTTCCTGAATGAATTGATTGAATCTGAAGAGTCTAGGCAAGAACTGAGAAGCTATCACGGGTTGCAAGATGGCAATGGCGGTCAACATTCTGGATCCTCTGTTCTTCCCAGAAATCCAAGCTACAACGACGATCACCTGCAGAGCCCAGCCCACCATGGTCATCTATATTTATAATTGGAGTGGCGAGTCTAATTATTACTTAACTTTTGTAATAAGATGTGGTTAATAATAAAATTGATCACTTAATCCTAATAATTCGAGCTGTTGAGAGAGGTTCAATTATAGATAAAAACGAAAACAAATTAAGAGAAGAGTCAGATACCTGAGGCAGCGGGAGGACGGAGAGCAAATCGACGAGGAAAAACGAAAACAGGTATCTACTCGCGATCGCCGACGTGTCCACCACCATCCTGCCGCTCCCTAACTCTCTCGAGTAAGGCCCCGGGAACGCGGTTCGAAACTGGAAGAAGAGTGGAATCAGATGGAGAGCATCAGCGACGGAACGCAGCACCGCAGCAGTAATCAGCAGGTTTCCGTCGAAACTCATGGCACATTCGCGGCTGCTGTTGATTCCAGGGATGTAGAGAAACAGGGGATCCAGAAACAGAGCAACTCCTGCCATGGCCGAGAAGGCTCTGTACCCCTTAAGAACCGACCTTTCCCGCGGATCCAAAATCCTGCATTTATCAAAAAGATCCCAAATTGACGATTGATTGGATTCTCTTTACCGAACCCAGAAGTAAGAAAGTGAAAGAGAAGGAAAACTCACATTCTTGAGGGGATTTCGGCGAAGCTGGAAGGAAGGGAAATGTAGTAGTTTGCTCCAGAGAAAGGGAGGACTGAGGAGCAAAAGCGTAGTAGGCAGAGTGTTCTTTAGTGTGTTATGAATGATTTTATTACATGGGTCGTTGACTCCTACTGTTGACGCCAACTTGGTAATTTGGATTTCTAAGAATAGAGCTAATTAACAAACACTCTGTATTCTAGAAAGGCGGCGGACTGGTTGTTGAAAGAAGGATGAAACTAGGGATGGAAGTTCGGTTTGTGGTTTTTAGCTTAACGGAGAGACCATGGATACTTTGGCAAGTTAGGAAATTAGAAAAATTGAAATATAAGACCTTGAGGCTGCTGGAGGACGGAGACAAGGTCAACGAGGAAAACGAAGGCAAATTGTCGCTATCGCCTTGGCGTCCACCACTAGTTCACCTCGCCAGAAAACTCTAGAGGAAGGCGCCGGGAAGCCAGTTCGGAACTGGAAGAAGATTCGAATCGGATGGAAAGCATGGCGACGGAGCGCAGCACCGTGGGCGCAGAACCTTATAACGCCATTTATGGCGGCTGTTGACTCGAGGGATGTGCAGAAACAGAGCAACCCCCTGCCATGGCCAAGAAAAGGGAGTCCCAACTTCGAACCAGCCTTTCCCATGGAATGAAAAGGGAGTCCCAAAAAGCTCTCAAATTGTTGATTGATTGAAATCTCTTGCAAGAACCCAGAAGTTAGAAATGGAAGAGAGAAGATAAACCTCATTCTTGGCGGAGCACTGGGAGGAGGAAAGGAAGGTGATGTAGTTTGCTCCATGGGCAGAGAAAAGAAGAGTACAGGGTAGTATGACAGAGTGCTTTGAGTGTGCTCTGCAGGGGTAGGGCTGACAACACTCTGTATCCTATAATGGCGGCCGACTCGTTGAAGAAAGGTTCAAGCTTTGAAAGGCTAGATCAGGTATAATTCAATTCTAGAACAAAGAAACAAACCCCATTTGAAAATTTCTCATATACATTAATATTGTACAGGTTACAGGATTTGAGAAAGAATCAACCGAAGATAACTAATAAAGGGACTCAAAAATCACATCTTTTATCCTGCACTTTCCCTTTATCTCTCATACTTCTCTGGTTGATTGAATGAACACTACCCCACAACCAAAAAAAAAAAATTCCAACAAACTACTTACCCTTTCCCCAAGCTACCGTTCATCAGCAGTAAAATCAGGCTCCGCCGGCTTCTGCAGCATCATGGGCGGCAGCCTCTCGGAGATCCTCGCCTTACGAGTCGAGTTTCGTCTCAGCAGCCTCAGGGCATTGGCGGCAAATCTGGAGGCGTAGATGGTAGCGCCGAGGCTAGGCGAGTTCCCACTGGCCTTGGCCAGCGCATCCTGCAACCTGTCCTCTTCCTGCCTCAGTGCCTCCTCGAGCTTCTTCTTGCTGTACCTTCGCCATGCCGCTTGTATGAAGCAGGCGGCCCACGTCCTCCACTGCTGTGAGTAGAACCTGAACGTGTGGCGAAGCTGCTTGCTGTGCAGGCGACGGAACTGCGAGGCCACGAACTTTAGGTCTTCGGCCGTTAGTGCAAAAGCTTCGACCTCCGTGATTGTACGAACGGTTCTTGTGGAGATGGGTAGGTTCGACGAGGAGTGTGGGTCGAGAGCCCACGTGAGAAGCTCCTCACCGCAGAAATCGCCAGCTTTGAGGTACTCCGAGTTGAAGAAACCCGTCCTTCCACCATTTGTTGTCATGGTGAGGAGTTTACCCCTCATGATGAATAGCATCTCGTCGACGGGGTCTCCCTCACGGACAATGTAGCTCTCCTCCGTGTAGAGTGCTGGCTTGAGGCGGTCGCACAATGCATCGAGAAGCTGGTCGTCCATCTTCTCGAACATTGGCACCTACACAAATTCCACAAAGCGAAATGATGATCAGAATGTGAAGACAGCGACCTTCTTGAATTTACAAAAGTAAGAACTTACTCTCATGAGGAGTGCCAAGCAGAGATGGCGCTTTATGTCCCTTCTAATGTCCTTTGGAAGAGTGTGGACGAGGTTCTCTTCGTCGACTCCTCTGGTTTCTTGCCACTTATACTGCTCGTGTCGCCTGATTCGCTCCCGCAAATTGTCCGGGAGCATACGATGGGACATCCATTGCTCTGCGTCCCGCCTCTTCACTCTCATTTCCTCCAATCTAGTTGTCGTAGATTGCAAGTAAGTCTGTTTCACGCACATGGCAATGGCAATTCTAATCCATAAGAAACCAGTAAGAGAACTGCAGACGTTTAGGTAGCAATGAATCGAGTTTTATTACCAACCTGCATATTCCCAATGAGGAAGGAAAACAGCACCAGTCCAAAGATTGAAATCGCAACCGAGAAACAAATTTCCCAGACGAATGTACTTGTCGCAAGGTTCTGACCAAGAGAACTGCCAATTGACAAACCACATGCCATGAGTTCATTTCGCAGGCTGTAGGGTGAAATGAAATATGTCCAATGACTCCGATAGTTTGCTTACCTGAGATTGCGAAGCCCCCACCAGAAACAGTAGAAGAACTTCTTGGGGAAGTCATGAGAAGACACAACACCAGACTGGAGCGCGTCAAGGAATATTCCGAAATTGAACACATCTGCATTCTCAGGATTGACAGGACAAGAGGTGTTCAAGAATGCCAGATTGCCTGGAGGACCATCACAGTACAGCGTATCCCGGCACGAGCTTGTGTTACAAGCTCTCTTCCAGCAAACTGTTAGTCTTTCCACGGAGAATAAGTACCAAAATGCTCCAAGCACCTAATAAATAAACACAGTAAGTCAGACCAAAAAAAGATGGATGGAATGTAGCAAATTGTAAGTTGGGAAATTAATCACTGGAGCTTACATGACTAGCAAGCATGTAAAGGAAGAGGTTAAATGCAGCTCCAGCCCATGCAGTTTCAGTGAGTATACCAGAGGTTCGAGTAACTTCCTTGTACAACGGATAAATCCGCATGATCCTCGGAAGATACTGTAGGATTACAACAAACTTCAACAAGTTTTTCGTGTTAAGAGTTCTCGATCCTTGCAGCCTGGGAGTGATTATTAGAATCACCATCTGGAACACAAGAATGAAGCAAACACAATTTGAGAAACATACATTCACATATGTGAATTACAGAAAAGAGAACATGTTCACGGTGGAAGAAGTTTCTCTTTCTACTCACCTGTGGCAATGGCAGCAAGGCAAGAACATCGATCAAGAAGTACGAAAGCATATACCTCTTCGCGATAGCCCAACTGTCCTCAACCAAAACACCTCTTCCGAAAACCCTGGAGGAAGGCGCAATGAAGCCGGTATGAAACTGGAAGACAATGTGAAGTATGTAGAATATATCCGTGAAAGAACGCAACACGCTGGCTGTTATCTGCATCTTGTTGTCCAATTTAAGGCAGTGCTTATCATTGTCGATCACCGGGACATAGAAGAACAAAGGGTCCAGGGAGATAGCAAGGAAACATGACAGCACAAATATCTTGTTCCATTTCTGTAGGAAAGCTCCCTGTGGATCAAGGATCTTCTTTCTAGAACTAGAAGAGCCATCGGAGGAACTACCATTGTTGAACGAGTATGATTTCAAGGTCTGCCTAATCCTACTGATGCTCTCTGAACCAGACTCCAGTCTTCTCCTGAACTTATCAGAGAATGAGCTTATCTTCATGCTAACTCTCCCACGGTACCCATTCCGGGGCGAATAATCCGATTCCGACACTTTCTCTGACCTCCAATCTTGAAACCTGAACAATCCATCATCGTAATCCATCATCAAATGGCACAAAACATCATACTGCCTAATAAGAAACTTCTAATAAGCAAAAGAATCAAACTTTTACCTAACAAACTTGTCCTGTGAATAGTTCATAACCGAAGCAGCAATTTTTCTTCAAATGGAAAGCCCCAATTACGTTCAACAAACAGTCTTCCTCATAGACAAATCACCATTCAAGAATTTCTGCAAAAGTTCCCCCAAAGGGAAGATACACAGATGACCCTTTCCTCATCAGAACTGTGCAATTTCATCCAAATTCCAAACCTTTTGCAGTGAAGAGAACAAGAAAGGAGGGCGGAAAGCAACCAATTGGATCTCAAAACTTCCACTGGAGCAGAACAAAGGGGGCAAAGTAGAAGTTCGCAAGAGTGAAACACTAGTTTTAACAAACGAAACCCCCCATGGAACTGTAATCAGATTAGACTTACTTACATCTGGGCTCTGACGATTTCTTCAGACGTTAGACACCAATCCTATCCTTGAGGGAGGAGCAGAAGTTCACGGTTTCAGTAACCGGCAGCCCAGAAGAATTAGAGAGCAGCCCAGTTTGGGCCAATCCAGAAGGAAAAGCTTGGGACTTTTGCAGTTGCAGGAGGAAAGGGGGGAAAAGGGGGAAGGGAAAACTGGTGGGTGTTTCGAAAGAGGAAGAATGGTCTGGTTGGATTATGATCATCAAACCAACTGGAGGGATTACCAAGTTGGAGACTTTGGTTTTTTCTCTGAAAAGAAGATGTTGGTTTCTTGGTCGGAACACAAAATTTGAGACTTTTCTAATCGTTCTCGTGAGTTAGAGAGAGAGAGAGAGAGACAGAGAGAGAGACAGAGAGAGGCGATGGAAATTTCCTGGAAACCGTGGCAAGGGGCAAGGCTCTTGCGGAGGCGGGCCCTTTTAACGTCGCGCTTTTTCTTTGTGCTGCAGATAAGCAGAATAAAAAATTGAAAATATTTGAAAATGTGAATCCGATTATTAATACCGTGGTACAGTTCATTATTATGGGTGGTTTGGATGAAGTAATTCGATGAGGTATTTCGGCTGAAATAATTCATTTCGAATTACTTCATTTCAAACGATTATGAGTCATTTCAGTCGAAATAACTTGTTTCGTAAAATTAAAATGGAATGTGATATTTTGTTTACGAGGCAATTGAAACAACTCATTGTGAGTTATTTGAAAGACCTACTCACCCCCTAGTTATTTCAAATAAATCATCTCTCAACCTCTTTTTTCACAACATTACTTCTCTAGGTGGTGAAATAAGTCAAATAACACAATTCTTTAATGTTTTATCCAAACAAGACAATTTACCGAATCACCACATTCCAAATTGAAATACCACATGAAATGCCACATAGCAATATAATGCAACATTTTGATTCGAAATACCACAGAACCAAATTGCATTCAAACGACTCGCTAACAACTATGTATTCACAATCTATGTACGAAAATAAAATAAAAAAATGTTTTTAGATGTTTTTTTCCTTTCGCTAGATAAACAACTCTACTATACACAAAAGTAAAATTTATAAGCATATGTAAATAACTATCCATAAGATTCATCGCGCGGACGGTGGAGACGATAGAGACGTTAGTTTGGATTCAGGAGGTTCTGGTTTCAAATTTTAACAACCGCTATTTCTGTGTTATCTCATTAGTAACTTTTGTTAAGGTTGTCAACTGAGTTTCTCATATAGATTTGTACGTAACCTTCTATCTATACAGTATATTTTGTTGAGTTATATTTCTACAACCTGCATAGATTTTAGACAAAATTTGACATGTAAAATCCACGATAAGCTTTGGAGTTTCTCGTTTCGTTTCTGGTCCAGTTTGCATCCGGTTGGGCAGTAAAGACGAACCCTGGTTACATTTGGAGACGAACTACATATAGTTTTGGAGATAAAAGACCTCTAATCTATAAATTGAAAATATTAAGAAAAAGGTTGCAATTTGTTATTTATAATTAGTCCATGCTCACTCTAAATTATAGCCACATTCCTCACTGAATAAGTGTGTCTTGAATTGCCTGTTACAAATTTACAATAATTGAATCAACATGTCTGATATATATATTTGTGGTTTACCGTTGTGACTTCATCGAAGAGACTATCGCGACGACAATTTTTTGTCTGTATCTTTGTTTTTGAGTTGATAAATTATTTAGATTTGGTTGAGTTGTGCTTATCCTAACCAGTAAACATAAATCATCTAACTTGTATGCTCAACTAGTGTGATCTAGTACCACACATATGATTTGAATTAATGAATCATGAAATGTAGCAATGATTAACATGCGTAATTTTTATGGCAATATTTTCAACATGTGATAACAAAAATGTCTATGTTATACTCTGTATACCAACTGCTGAGATACGGAGTTCCATTAGTACGATACTATCGATCTCGAGACAGATCTACACAAATTTACTTTTGAATTTTCTTCCAAAAGTCCTTGTACTAATTAGACTTGGTGAACATAACATACAAATATTTTTTTCCTTGTAATTTTAATATGACAATAAAATTACACCATATATATATATAACTCCAACTTTATGTATCCTTTTCATGGGAATAATAAAAATGAAAGAATTGGCAACACTACATGTTACGCGGTATCTATACGTACATGTATGAGGATGGGATACACGTGAAGATGGGATACGAACTTTGTTAAAGCAAATCTTGCCAAACAATATTAGCCGCATAAAATGGAGCAACCAATAATATTTTTATTTATCTATAACCCGAATAACCAATTTCTCTAACCTTTTTCTCACCCCTACTTGTGCATGTACATGAGATTGGATTGACGTATTTAACAATTTCTGTTTGGAATACCCAAGTGCATGTATTTGCGAAATTCAAGCAAAATTTGAACCATCAGAAACCAAATGCTATATAATTAGAGAGAGCGAACAAATATTAGACTCTATATAAAATCGACATTCATGATTTGTATTGAATTTAATCAACTTATCATTATCAAGCTCGATACTTTCTTCTTATTTTATGGCCCCCCTTAACATTGTCGATGATCAAATCGAATTTAGAATGATTCGACATATGTTTAGAAAAAAAAATTAAATTATTTGATTCTCAACGTCAGGCCCGGCCCAGGCCCTGTGCTGGTCAGACCCACAGCACAGAGCCTCAAGTTTTGGGGGCCCATTATCCATAATCCATATGTTTTGGAGGCCTGCTTGGGACAGAGCGAAGCCCACATAATCCATAAGAGTCTGGAGGCCCCCTTGGGCTGGGGAGCTCATGGAGGCCCCCTTGGACTGGCAAGGCCTACACAAAAACTCTATGTACAAGGATGTAGGGACGTGAATCGAACCATCGACCTCCTTATAATTAAGAACCATCGACCTCCTTATAATTAAAAGGAGATTCAACCACTAGACTACATTGATTTGTTGAATGTTAAATAACTATTAGAGTTTTTAACGCCTCTATTCTTCTCTTTCCCCAAAATTTCTCAACTTCCCAAAATCATCCAAAACTTAAATATGAATTGTTCACACTCAATTCTGATTAAGTTCTCATCCCTACTATCCAGACTCTTAATCAACTTGTTTTAAGTTCTAATATTTATCTTTTTCTTTTGCAAAGAACTTATATGAAAATTTGGAATCATTAATCTTTGGTTATAATTTATAATTATATCAATCCAAAAATTTGAAAAAGGTAGTTTTAAGCATAGATAATATTTGATAATATATAATATTATTAATTTGTAATAATTTTTTGAAGATATGTAATTTTTATCTTTAATAAATTTGTGAGAAAAAATTTGGGGCCACATTTAAATTTTCGAACAGGGCCTCCGAATATAATGGGACGGCCCTGCTCAACGTTTCAGTGGCCGATCTCATAGTGGGTTGTACGTAGCCCTAGTAACATTTAATTTTAGGCGATCGAATATAGACCACATGGTAAACACTAAAACCCAATTCGATTTCAGTAGATTGCTGAATTTTATCTATTTATAAGCTTTCTCGCTCTTAATATTGAATTCACGATCAGGTCCTTAATTAGTTTTTTTTTTGGAACCGAGAATCCTCGAACTGTGAATCGTTCTCTGAACCAAAACGGGGTGTTGTTGGAGCAAAAGTCAAAGCAAACAGGCAGAGAGATTCCTTCCTTTCTTTTTTTCGCAATTTGTTTGACTATTATTATTTCGGTAATTTCCTTATCCCTAGGAGGATGACTTTTGCTTGAATATTTCCTCCTATCCCTAATCCCTCTCTCTTTCACTGAGCCCCACCCAAAAACATTTTAATTATTAATCAACGTATTCTAATTTTCTCATTAATTCAACTCCCCAAGAAAATTAATCATAATATTTTCCTCCTGAACCCCTAATTTGTCCTGTTGAATAATTGATGATGATTTGCATTTTGTTTTCTATTGATTAATTAAGTGTCAATTTGCAAAAAGATAATTAATGCATGCACAACCCGTACGTCTTTGTCATGCACGCTGGACTCTTTGTTTTTTTTTAATATAAAGTTGGGCGGGCTGTGCTTTTGTCTGGCTAAATGGGCGGGGCTCGCTCCCATTGTGAATCCTAGTTTAAAATAAATGGGACTGGGTTTTGAAACACCAGTCAGGGATGCTAATCTGTTCGGTTTCGGTTAATCATTAACTTACAATGTGGTTAGTGGTTAACAATTGAGTAGCTCATACCGATAAGTCTTATCGGTTAACCACCTTTTATCAGTTATTTTGGCGGTTAACCAATCACTACTAAAATACATTCCAACAAGTATGGTTCATACCTAATCGAACTAATATCAAATTAATAGTTTCAATTTTATTGTACAATATATATATAATAAATAGAAATAATAATAACTTATAATACACAAATCAACAATCCTTTTAAATTTAACAAGTGTCATTCAACATCAATTTCAGTCCACAAGCACCACCAGAGCATCATCATTTACAGACATCAAGGAGACAAAGATTACTAGAGTGTGAGGTTCTCTCTAACGACTGCAAGAGGAGTTAGAGAGGGATGACTTTCGGGTTCTAACTCTTAAACATATTTTGAGACTCTTGGTGGATGGTTGTTTGCAATAGGTAGGAATTGAGATATTTGGAATTGTGACTTTGATTGGTTTTGAATCTTGGAAAATGTTCCCTTATCCAAAGTCCAAAACTATGTAGTTAACTAGTAGGCGATAATCGATTTTCTTATCGATTAATCATTAACTAATTAGTCGGTTAGCGGTTAACCACTAAGCTGAATACTACTAACCAAAATCGAACCAATAAAAAATTAACGGTTATCGGTTAACCAATATATATATATTGATGAATTTGATACATTGTAAGAAAAATCGTTTGATATGTATGATTGTGTATGTCACATCAAGTAAAAACTGAGATAAAACAATCTCAGCTAAAAGCTGAGATATGACAATCACTCATTTTGAGTGATAGTTCCTGTCACATAACAAAAACAGTCCATGTATTGTGTCTGCTAAACCACTAAATCCATGTATTGAATGAAAGTGTACATGATTATATCCATCATTATATACGAGATTTTGCCAATTTGTGTTACCTGATTGATTTGTTCATTTGGGTTAGGATAGTGATTCATGATTAGGTGGGTACGTAAAACAGCTTCGTATATTAAAAAGGGAATTTCTCATTAGACAGATCACTCATTACAAGATCTCAATCTATAAACTAAAGCTAATGAATCAATCTAATGAACTATACTTAATTGTTTCCCTCAAACAAGAAGGAACTTCAACTCCCTGTAATCTTAAATTCGAGTGGGAGGGAAAAAGGAAGCACGATCTATCGTTATACTTCCTTGCTTTCAAATATTTTGTA